ACAAGTTGTACAATTTATCTTCACACATATACTTTGAAATGTACGGTTCACCTGAACTGAATAGTAATTGTGTGTTCTTTGCGGTATAACATGAAGGGTGGTCTCACAGTCAAGGATGGTTAAGCTACTCTACTCTCCCAGCTCTCTGACATGCTCCAGCTTCTTTCCAAAAACAGTCACACAAAAATCTATTAACCCAGATTAATAGACACAAGGAGACATCCGTTGCCTGGCAATACTCATTCATGAACCCACAATGCATGTTAGCCTCTCTTCCTGAACTGTTCTTGCCTCCGTGCCATAGGGTGCAAAACCAATATGATGCCCTGCTACTCCAAAGCTGAATGCAACATCTTCACTTGGGTTATTCAACACTGTGCCCAGTTCCCAGTGAAGATGCTGCTGATTGTTCCACTATTTAATTATGGAGTTTGGCTTTGAAAGCGGAAAGCACCATTGGGGTGCTGAAGCCAATATAAAGGACTTTCCTGCACTGCTTTTTCTGTATGTAATTTGGTGCTGGTAAGGAGCAGGGAGGAGATGGCAGCATCAGAACATGCCACAGGCAGAGATGAGACACATCACAGTCATATGCTTACAGAACTATCGTTCTGTGTTCAGGGACTCATGCCTTACAAGTGATCCATGCCCCACTAGCCAGTTGTGACTTTAGGAGAATTGTATCCTAAATCCATGGGTGGCGATCAATCAGAACTTAAGCCCAAGCAAAAACTATTCATTGAAACCTTGAGTGATGCAGTGAGACATTGGGAAATGGCTTTTGATGGCACACTTACTATTAGAGGGCACGTCTGGGTGGTCAGCAAAGAGATTGTCAGGAAGATATAATGCGAAGGCATTGCACCATGCAGTTTTGGACAATTCACATGACCATGGTGCCTGCAGCAGCTGCTTGAAGTTCCTGAACACATGAACTTCCTGCCTGTCACTAGCCAGTCATGTGCAGCCTGCCAAAAAAAAAAATGAGCAGAGAGCCAAGTTGAAAAGGAATTTCAACTAGCAGTGGTTGTGTGAATCGACTTCACATCATCAACCCATCTTCCCATACCTTGAACTGCCTGGCCACTAGAAGCAGATCTGATTGTTCAAATCCTCTGCACCATCTTTTTTTTTTAAAAAAGGAAACAATTCTCCTGCATTTAAGAACTTGGAGATAATTCATTTTAATTAATGTTTGGGGGGGTTGTTTGCTGACTGTCAGTAATTCATCAATTCGCAATTAATCAATATAGAGCTGTTGTTCCATTTTCATTACTTCACTTACCTATTTTTGACATGTCCAGCCTCTTAGGTCTGTCCCCTACATTCCTCACCAGCAGATTCTCAGGCTCACACTCTCTCGGAAATGTCATAAACAGTAACTAAAGCGGCATAGAAATGTCTTCAAAACATTGTTTCCAGACCTGATTACTGAGTGCAGAACGTCATCCAGAGTGGTTTTCTTCTTTTTTCTTTTAATAGGTTGTCATCATGGAAGTCCAAGGTCTCAAATCCTTAGCACCCAACCGCATTGTATATTGCACTATGGAAGTGGAAGGGGGAGAAAAGCTACAGACGGATCAAGCCGAGGCATCAAAGCCAACGTAAGTTTTTCTTTTCCTCCATTTTCTTTCTCCAGCCTAGCAGGAAAAACACACACAGTGAGTTCTCTTCTTCCTTCTGCACAAGGGGGTGGGGAATGTCTGGTCTTCCCGATGTTGCTGGGGAACAATTCCCATCTTCCCTTCCTGTTAGTCATGATGGCGATGATGATGACATGTGCGGAAATATACCTTTCCATGTGAGATCATCTCTCAACCATGAATTAACAGCTCCTAAGACATGAGTCGGGACACGGGCGGCGCTGTGGGTTAAACCAGAGCCTAGGACTTGCCGATCAGAAGGTCAGCGGTTCGAATCCCCGCGACGGGGTGAGCTCCCATTGCTCGGTCCCAGCTCCTGCCAACCTAGCAGTTCGAAAGCACGTCGAAGTGCAAGTAGATAAATAGGTACCGCTCTGGCGGGAAGGTAAACGGCGTTTCCGTGTGCTGCTCTGGTTTGCCAGAAGTGGCTTAGTCTTGCTGTCCACATGACCCGGAAGCTGTACACCAGCTCCCTCAGCCAATAAAGCGAGATGAGCACCGCAACCCCAGAATCGGTCATGACTGGACCTAATGGTCAGGGGTCCCTTTACCTTTACCTTAAGACATGAGTCAGTAAGGGCTTGTAGCATTTTCTTTCGTCCTGTTGAATGTTAGTGAGACATATCATAAGCACTTAATTTTAAGTATAAGCTGGATTGATTTACTGAAATGAAAACCGGCAGACTAAAAAAGGAGCACAAAGTCTTGCTGATTCTATATTCTGTTCTGTAAGGAAGCTTGTTTCAGTATTACCTGAACATTCCCATGCATGGTGTAACACATGGGTAGGCAAACTAAGGCCTGGGGGCCAGATCCGGCCCAATTGCCTTCTAAATCCAGCCCGTGGACGGTCCGGGAATCATCATGGTTTTACATGAGTAGAATGTGTCCTTTTATTTAAAATGCATCTCTGGGTTATTTGTGGGGCCTGCCTGGTGTTTTCATATGAGTAGAATGGGTGCTTTTATTTAAAATGCATCCCTGGGTTTTCTCTCCAGAACTGAATTCTTAGAAAGTAAATGGTAATTTCTCGGTCACCCTTTTTCTGTGCCCTCCCTAAGTATTCATCTGGGAAACAAAAACTGTATGCAATCATAATACAAAAGCTAAAAATCACCTTTCCCTCCTAAATCTTATGACTAAGCCTTCTTGTGACAGATACCTGTTTGATGAGGCTTACATTACATTTACCCCCATTTAATTACATTTTACATTTAATAACTTTAAATTGAATACACACCCACACGTAGATATATGTGCCTAGGCATGGGACAATTACAGGAAAAGGCACCATGTGGTGTTCTTTTTTGCCAGAAATCTAAAGATACAGTGGTACCTCAGGTTACATATGCTTCAGGTTACAGACTCCACTAACCCAGAAATAATGCTTCAGGTTAAGAACTTTGCTTCAGGATAAGAACAGAAATCGTGCTCTGGCGGTGCGGCGGCAGCAGGAGGCCCCACTAGCTAAAGTGGTACTTCAGGTTAAGAACAGTTTCAGGTTAAGTACGGACCTCCGGAACGAATTAAGTACTTAACCTGAGGTACCACTGTATACATTAAGATGACCACTTCTTGAAAATGTTTTTCTTAAAAAAAAAAAAATCTGTATAATAGAAGTGGCCAGATAGTCTTCTAGATTCACTTTTCATGATGCAGTTTTGATTTCTACCTCCCTGCCCCCTCTCTCTATATATATTTGTTTCTGAAAGTACAAGCGGCAAGCCATTATTGTTGCAATATCCAGGGATGTTCTATCTTTACCAATGTCCCCAAAGAGCTGCTCTGATCCACTGTAAATCTGTCAGGCTGCTTACATGTATTGCAAAGCATAATGAGCAGTTTCCAACTCAGTCATTGTCTTTCATATCAGATTTTGCCATCATTCCTTTTCCCTTCTCTAATATACCAGGTGCAGGTATATTTTAAACAACAACCTCAGAGTCCTTCACCTAAATCCTAGTTGTCATTTAGGCTGTCAATCAATAGCGCATCTGTCTAGACAAGCTTTTAAGCTAGTGCTGTTCCTTGCGCATCCCGATTTGCTTTAGTACTGCCACTGAAAGGTGCAAAAATATGGAATGTGCATTGAATATTAAGTTTCCGGGAATTCAAAGTCCTTCTGTGGGGAAAAAAAAGTGATATACTTCAATAATTATTTGTTTTGCAATGAGAAATTTCCGTTGCTTTCAGGCTGACTTCAACTAACATTGTGTATTCTTGTGATAGAGGCATCCTCATTTGGTTATTCATTCATTCACTCATTCATTCATTAAATTTCTATACCATTCTTCCTCTCAAAGGCAGCAGACCTGTCACACCAATCTGTCTTGCCATATTTAGTTCTTTTGTACCCCGATGCTATATGAAAGCTTAAAAGACACATGTTTTTTCACTGACTCACAGCAGCTTGATGGTTCTGTGGGGTGGGGAAAGAGAACACTACAAATCCCATTTGATAGCTCAAATATAGAGCTGCTAAATTCAGGCATTGTTCCTAAAACACCATTAAAAATTGTTCCACATCCCGAATCAGCCAAATGTAGATTTTTTGAGGGTGGAGAGATGGAGGTTCAAAGCAGCACCAATTTCCTTACGGCCCTCATAAGATCTCCATGATGTATTCTATCACCTCTCCTTCACTAAACACATTTTATTGCCTTTATTTCTTCCCCTGTCAGTCAAATGTCTGAGACTGACAGCGCTTCTGGACTGCCACTACTTTCAGGTGGGATTCAATCACTTGTCACCAAATACAGGTCACACCATTCAGCTGATTTTAGTGCTCTTATGCAACAAACCCCCGCCCCCAAATCAGACTTTTTGCAATAAAGAAAGTGCTGGAGGAAAGACATTGGAAAACGTCGGGTAACATCTGCATGACGAAACATCATATTAACCTCCTTGCAAGCATGTCAGAATGAATGCTCAATAAGCAGGCTGTCTGGAAGTGAACTGAGCAGCCTTTTGTAGCAGTTATTCCTGGGTGCAGGGAGAAGTTGGATAAAAATTATAGTAACTCATAGCTTCCACGACCTCACAAAGTCAAGGATCAAGTGCCAGTCCTTTTTCATACTGAAGAGAACCCTGTCCCTAAAGCAGCCATAAATGGAAGCTTTTGGGTGATGTTCTTAAAAACAACCTGTGACAAGGTGTTCTTTCATCCCCTTAACAATTTGGAGTGCTTGCGAGCTTTCTCATTCGCTTTGTTTTTTTGCACTACCAGTGAAAATAGATCGACCTTAGGATTATAGAATTATAAAATTGTAGAGTTGGAAAGGACCGCGTGGGTCATATAGTCCAACCCCCGAGTGGGCATGTATTATTATTATTATTATTATTATTATTATTATTATTTGCCCAATATGGGGTTCGAACCCACGACCCTGGGATTAAGTGCCTCATGCTCTACTGGCTGAGCTTAGTTAAAATTAGGCATTTGGGATATAACATTTTGAAATGTTTCTTTGTAAAGATTTCCATTCAGTTAAGGAACTTAGTGCAGGCCTTAGCTCAGGCCACTTCTTGCTGTGTAGGATTTTTTTTTATGCAGGGAGGGTTTCTCATTTTTTAGAAGACATCTGAAGGCAGCCCTGCATCAGGAAATTTTAAATGCTTGACATTTTACTATGTTTTTATATGTACTGTAAACTGCCCAGATTGGTGGGTTATGATGATGATGATGATGATGATTCAAGCATTCAAAAGTAATCCTCTGCCAGACTCAGAACTCTGCCACCTTATCCCTGTTGCATCTGGAGGATAGGCATAAACTGCTTTTAGTCCTGACTCAGATCAAACCCTGAATGTTGACATTATTCATTATTTGTTCGTTGGACAAGAAGCACACTGCATGCTTTGATGTCCTGTTAATTAAGGGGTTTTTTTTTAACCCTCTTCTGATGTTTATTTCCAATTTATTCCCCTCCTGGGGAAAAGATTTCACCCCCTTCCCTTCTTCATGTTTGATCAGAACGTCTATTGGCAATCTGTTCGCGCGGCTTTTGATTGAGATTAGCTGATCACATTTTCGCCTTTCAGCTTTGAATTTGTTGTGACTTTTTGCTTATTGTGAATTAGAGAAGCAGCTGAACAGCTCCACATAAAAACAAGATGAAATGTGTTCTACCGTGGTGGGACTGAGTAAGCATCTAATTGCCAATGCTCCCTAAAGAAAAGCCCTGACAGTCTGAAGCCAGGAACCTGCCCAACATTTACATTGCCCTGTTTTTCAAAGGAATCAAGAAAAAAATAAATAGCCTCATTTTCAAGTGATCTCACAGGGGGAAGACCCTGTCATGTCATCAGAATTGCTCCTGGCATCAGAATTGCACCTGTTCTTCAGAGATTAGGGCTGCAGTCCTATTCTTGCTTACTTGGAAGTAAGTCCCACTGGAGTCAAGGAGGTTTATTTCCCCCACATCTTCATCTTTCCATTTGCAGAGGGCAATAAATGTCCTTGAGAAACAGGTTTGTATTCAACAGCTGTGCTTCCACTGCTGTGCTTAGGTTTCTAGAGATGCTAAGTCTGCCTCCCCCAAATTCTCAGAGACCGTTTATCGCTGTTCGCTCACACGCCCAAAGAAACAAACCCGATAATGAATTTTATCTTTAGTTTTTGAGCCATCAGTTGTTACCATGAGGGGAAACTTTATGGAGTCCCTTGTAGATTCACTTCCATCCAATAACATAAGAAAAGCCTGCTGGATCAGGCCAAAGACCCATCTAGTCAATTAATTAATTAATTACATGCCATTCACCAGCAGATTCCATGCAGTTAAAAGCATTTAAAACAAATTAAAATCACGGGAACAGGGAATCCCTCTGTTCTCACAGAGGCCCCTGAGCTAGCCTGCTGCCCTGAGGTACCATGGAGGGCACTGTCCCATAATCAGTATTGAAGGAAGATTCAACTTCAGCATCTGATTTCAACGTCCTTTAACTCAGGCAACAGAAAGAACATAGGATGGTTGACTGTGATAAACGAACTGTCTTTCAGCAAAGACTGTTCAAAATTATTTGTCTTCTTATTGAAGAATCATTGAAGCCCAAATACAGTATCTTCTTGTTGTTGTTGTTGTTTAGTCATTTAGTCGTGTCCGATTCTTCGTGACCCCATGGACCAGAGCCCGCCAGGCACTCCTGTCTTCCACGGCCTCCCGCGGTTTGGTCAAACTCATGCTGGTAGCTTCAAGAACACTGTCCAACCATCTCGCCCTCTGTCGTCCCCTTCTCCTTGTGCCCTCCATCTTTCCCAACATCAGAGTTTTTTCCAGGGAGTCTTCTCTTCTCATGAGGTGGCCAAAGTATTGGAGTCTCAGCTTCAGGATCTGTCCTTCTAGTGAGCACTCAGGACTGGTTTCCTTAAGAATGGAGAGGTTTGATCTTCTTGCAGTTCATGGGACTCTCAAGAGTCTCCTCCAGCACCATAATTCAAAAGCATCAATTCTTCGGCGATCAGCCTTCTTTATGGTCCAGCTCTCACTTCCATACATCACTACTGGGAAAACCATAGCTTTAACTATACGGACCTTTGTTGGCAACGTGATGTCTCTGCTTTTTAAGATGCTGTCTAGGTTTGTCATTGCTTTTCTCCCAAGAAGCAGGCGTCTTTTAATTTCGTATCTTAGGAACACCATTTGAAACCACTGCAAACTAGCTGATTAACAAGCTGTGGCGCATGAACCAGCTACCTTTCAGATTAAATAAGCATTTGAGCTCATTCAGGGTTAGGACATACTGTTTCTTAGTGATGAATGTTAATAAGGCCAAAATATGTGAAACGGTTCCCAGTTACTTCCTCAGAGTCGCTACTATACGTGGGTGTAGATGCGGTAATTTTAAAAGTTTACAATCTTCAGCCTACAGAATTCACACCTGACTTCTTGGCTTTCTAGCATATTTCTCTAGCTCAGACAGAAGAGTTTCTGTGTGAGAGCTTGTGTTGAAATACAAATGGCAATGCTCACAACGTAGCAATGTCTGCATTTTAAAGGTCACGCGGTCAACACTTTGTTGGAAAGAAAGGCGTAGAACAGGCAATGTCTGGTGTGTTTTGCAAAATTCATCAAAATTCAGGGATGAAACCACCTCCAGTTTAACAGTTGTTAATCTGAGACCCCAACATAGCAGTGATATTCATCTGTCTAAACTCTTTCTAAGCATGAAACTGCCTGCTGTATAGCACACTAAACAATTGAACATCAGAAATAAATAAATAAATAAATAAATAAAATTGTCCAGCAGCACCTTAGAGAGGGTGTAAGCTTTCGTGTGCATGCACACTTCTTCAGATACACTTAAACAGAAGTCACCAGACTCTCATATATAGTGGGAGGGTGGGGTGGGGTTTTTCTCAGGAAGGTAGTAGGAGATGGGTGATTGACTCAATGGGTATGGTAAACCTGTTGACGACTGTTAATGACTTCAATTAGTCCTACAGGAAAAAGCAAGGGATAGTATGCAGATGATTAGGATATGTAATGAGACAGGAATCCAATATCTCTAGTCAGACCAGGTCTCTCCATAGTTTTCAGTGTAGTGATAAGTTGTAATTCAGCAACTTCTCTTTCAGTTCTGTTTCTGAAATTCTTTTGTAATAAGACAGCTGCTTTGAGATCCTGTATTGAATGTCCTGGGAGAGTGAAATGTTCTCTTACTGGCTTTTCTGTCTTGTGATTTCTGATGTCAGATTTATGTCCATATATATAAGGGTCTGGTTACTTCTGTTTCAGTGTATCTGAAGAAGTGTGCATGCACACGAAAGCTTATACCCAGAACAAACTTAGTTGGTCTCTAAGGATTTTTTTTTTATTTTTTTTTATATTTCGACTGCATCAGACCAACACAGCTACCTACCTGAATCAGAAATAAAAATGCTATAACTAAACAGGTGATGGGGGCAGAGGGAAGGAGTGGAAAGGGGGGGGGAGAGCAACTAAGGTCTCTACTGCTTTACTGTAATAATATGCAAACCCTAGTAAACTATTGATAACAATAAAAAAGAGGAAGGGGAAATTTTCAGCCCACATGTGGTTTCTTCATCAATAGAATTTAAAACTTGTTTGAACATAATAGCATTCAAAACACCTACAGTATTTTATCTGAAGACCGATGCCTGATGAGTTGTCATTTGAAAACTTTCATTGCCCATCATTTTGAATTTGGCCAATAACCAACTACAGGTGCTTAGATGCACACATGGATTTCCAGTGAGTCTATGGTACGTCCCATTAATTCCAATGGAGAGACAGATTGATACATGCAAGGAATGTCTATATGTACTGTTATGAATGGGGTGGAGGTGAGCAGGTGGAAAAGTATTTACTGGGAAGGGCATCATTACTCTGCAGCTAAAAGGAGTTACTTTATTTTTAAAGGGGGTTGCCCATAAAATTCTAACCCTCTCCCATCATTATTGCAATTCTGTTTTCAAACCCGAACCCTTTCCAAAGCAAACATCAAACCTGAATTCTGAATTGCAAAGAACCAAGCAAACCACACTAAATTACACACACTTTGTTTCCTTTGGACAAAGTGATCAATGTTGCTTGTGATGTCTCCTCTGTGCTGTGGGAAGTGTTCCTGCAGCAAAATCTGATCATCAAGAAATTCACGAGAGACCATGGCTAGTTTTGGGGTGAGACGACCGCGCCAGATCCCCATCTGCAGCTCTCTGATGCCATCTAGACGCTGAGGAGCGACATGGCATGATTCAGTGGGGACCACTGTCGATGCGCAGCACTCCTGAGTGTGTATGTGTGTGTCTTTGTGTGCACCAACACTTCAGTGAGCAGTTAAGCTGGAAATGAGTTATATACCAAGACACTTCAATTTCTTCACTTTAAAGGTCACTGTTCTTTCAACTTCTGTAGACGTTCCTTCAAGATAAGGCAGGCAACTAATTGGTATGGGAGCAAGGAAGCAGCTAGAGATAAACATAGCACAGTTAAGCACAAATGAGGCCTAAAGCAGGCATTGTCTAGCAAACCATGATGGACATTAGATTTGCTTCCTCCACCACTATCCCGTCCCTGATTATACAAACTCTGCTATGGGAAGAATAATTTGAAGTCTTTATTAGATACTCCAGAAAAGGCATTCTGGGGTTTGTCTTTCGGTTTCTGTATTGTTAGGTCCCCCCACCCCCCATTCCTCCCCGTATCTCTCATCTTATCAAATCCCAGGACTCCATTTCTCATGTGGCATTTGATTCAGCAACTTGGTGATATAAAATGGCTTCAACAATGGATTAGACAAATTAATGGTGGAGAGGGCTATCATAGGCTACCAGCCATGATGGCTATGCTCTGTCTCCACAGCTGGAGGAAATATTAGTATCAGAAACTGCAGGAGGGGAGAGTCCTCTTGTACTTGGGATCAGTTTTCTGGCTTTCCAAGATATCTGGTCGGCCATTGTAAGAGCAGAATGCTGGAC